TTTGTGCCTAAAAAGGACGGCGGCATTCGCATGTGTATAGATTATAGGAGGTTGAATGATATAACAGTGAAAAATGCCGAACCATTACCGCAAATAGACGATTTGCTAGATCGCGTGCAGGAAAGCAAAATATTTTCAAAGATTGATCTGAAATCCGGCTATCATCAGATTGAGGTTGAGCCGGAAGACCAACACAAGACTGCCTTTAGGACAAGGTATGGACATTATGAATTCGTAGTTTTGCCCTTTGGTCTAACGAATGCCCCTGCTACTTTCCAAAGAACGATGAACGAACTTTTTCGTGACTGGCTCGACAAATTTGTTGTGATTTATTTAAACTATATTTTAATTTTTAGCAAAAATGAAAAGGAGCACGCTGAGCACCTTCGACTTGTGCTAAATAAATTGAGAGAAGCAAAACTCAAGTTAAATCCAAAGAAGTGTGAATGGGTTAAGCGTCAGGTGTTATACCTAGGACATGTGATTGATGGAGATGGGGTCAAACCGAAAGATGCCAAAATAGCAGCAATCAGAGATTGGCCAAACCCCCAGACCTTGACTGAGTTGCGGTCGTTCCTTGGGTTAGCCAACTACCATCGAAAGTTCGTAAAACACTTTACGATAATAGCTGCTCCCCTTCGCTGCTTGCTTAAGAAAGAAGTAATTTGGAAGTGGGATTCAGACTGCACTATGTCCTTCAAGCATCTGAAAAAGTGTTTGATTAATTATCCGGTTCTTAAAGTAGCGGACCCTTCCTTACCTTTCGTGGTCACGACTGACGCTAGTCAATATGGTATAGGTGTTGTACTCCAACAAGATGATGGGCATGGGTACAGTCTTGTAGAGTTTATGTCTTGCCGCTTACCTAACAAAAAAATGTCGCTTCAACGTATGAACGAGAGTTTATGCTCTGCGTGAGGCTCTCAATCATTGGCGACACCAGCTTCTAGGCAGGCATTTTGAAGTATACTCTGACCATGAAACACTTCGCTGGCTTAAAACGCAAGCTCGAATGACACCTAAGTTAACAAGGTGGGCTGCAGGGATTGATATGTTTGACTTTGAGCTGAAGCCAGTCAAGGGTAAGTATAACGTTGTTGCCGATGCACTAAGCCGTAGATCGGATTTTTTCGGTGCTATCGTGACTTACCTAGATGTAGGTACAGACCTACAAGAAAAAATTAGAGATGCGTATCCTTCTGATCCTGTTTATGGAACCATGATTAAGCTAATGCAAGAAAAGCCAGCAGARTTTCCCGATCATAAAGTAACTCAGGGTCTATTGTTTGAACGAACTSACGTGCATGATAGGCTRTGTATACCGAATAATGAGGAGATCAAGAGTATGATCTTGGGRRAATGCCATGATACAGAAGGCCATTTTGGGTGGAAGAAGACCTATGGGACCTTGTTACGCTCCTACACCTGGCCTCGAATGAAAGCGGATTGTATCGCGTATGTGCAGGGTTGCCAAGTGTGCCAACGAAACAAAAGCACCACGCAATCGCCCCTCGGGCTACTTAAGCCCTTGCCTATCCCTACCGGCCCTGGAAACTCTGTCTCTATAGATTTCATGGACACTAAGGTAAAAAGCAAAAATGGGAAGACACAAGTAATGGTCATAGTGGATAGATTCACTAAGTTCGTTGTTTTTGTAGCTTTGCCTGCAGAAGCAAAGACTGAATTTGGTAATTCGGGAATTCTTTAACCATTGGGTAAAAGACTTTGGACATCCCTTAACTATTGTGAGTGACAGAGATACCAGGTTCACAAGTGAACAACGGCAACAACTGATGGATGTATATGGTTCTAATTTGACAATCTCATCAGGTAGGCATCCTGAGACTAATGGTCAGATTGAACAGATGAATAAGATATTGCACCAGACTTTGCGCATGTACATTCGTCCCGACCAGATTGACTGGGATGAACAACTGCCTAAGGTTGCTAGTGCCTATAATAACTCTGTGCACCTATCTACGTGTAAGACTCCTATGGAGTTACATCTGGGATGGCGTCCACGCAGACCCATTGATCGATTGAACCCAGATCAAGTACATAAGCTTCCTGTAGGGACTAGTGAGTTTGCAGTCCAATATCAGAAAGACATTGAGAAATTAAAAGAAAATATACTTAAAGCACAGCATCAAATGATTGAACAGGCAAATAAACACAGACSCCCGTCTCAATTTGCTGTAGGAGATTTGGTTTGGGTGAAGTCTAAAGAGTTTGCTCCTGAAGAGAACATCTCTCAGAAGCTTCTACCCACCTACCGAGGACCTTGGCASRTTCTAGACGTAATTGGAGATGTGGATGGTCCTTCGTATGTCATTGAGATTCTTCCTCATCTACGTACATATCCAGTGTTCCATGCATCCAAGCTCTTACCTTGTGTAACGAATGAGCTCTTCCCAAGTCGCCGGTCGGCGATACCTCCAAGTATGGATGGGAAGTATGACGTGGATAAAATTGTTGCGGAWAGKAYTTWCCACAYTGGACGTAGAGGCAGACCACAACGACAGTATAAAGTAAGGTTTGCATATCAAGATCCTAGTGAAGATCGCTGGTTTACAAGAGAGGAACTGTTAGATTCTGCACCTCATATTGTGTCTGCATACAAAAGTACAAAGAGAGGAATTCATATCATTGATAGGTAAATGGTTCTCTGAGGACTTCGAAACTAGGCCGGCGAGAGTAAAAGGGCCTTTACCCGATATAGGTCTCAGGCCTTGTAAAAATAGAGCAGCACGGGCCTTGTAAAAGTAAAGCATTGTGAAAAGGTATCTTGCCAGGGCTCAGAAACGTGAAAACAGGTCAAAAGTCAAGTTCTCTATCAACAGGCACATCTAAATCTAAGGCAAAGGGCATTGTCAAAAGACTTACCTGTTCACCAGGAGATGTGTATGTCATGTCTGTTCGAGTAAGGGTGTGTCTGTACGTGTAGGCAGTGTACCTGTTCGTGCAATGGAAAGTGCCTGTTCAAGTAGTAAATGTGTCTGTTCGTTTAGAGTTGTGCCTGTCCGAAAGTGAAGTCAGTAGGCACAGTCCCAGTTCTGGTCTAAGTCAAGGGGTCAGTCCAGATCCAGACTTTCAAGTCCAAATCCAGGCCGAAGTGCCTCAGCAGCAGTTGAATCTCATTGGGACTGTACTGGGACACATGCAATGCAGGGTCTGGGACAAAGGGAGAGGCTGAATTGAGCCAATGCAGACCCAGTGAGGAGTGGCCAGCATTATAAAAAGAGCTGCCTGCCTCATTCCTCGCCAGATCTCCACTGGCTGCAACGCGTGGAAGTGCTGGTGCAATTGTGCGCTGGGCCAGGAGGAGCAGCGCTGGAGGAGAAGACGCACTGGAGGGAGGAAGATGCCTGTACGCTGGAAGTGATGCAGCCATAGCTGCCCAGCGAGTTCGCATTAGTAGTAGAGGGTTAGTATGTAGCTATGAGTAGTATCCAGAGTAGATCCTCATGAGTATTGAAGAGTGTGTATGCATCATAGGAGGAAGG